TTTTGGCAAGCTAATTTGATATACATCGATATAACATATCTTTTAACATGATCGAAATCTCGAATGACGACGCAAGCACGAATCGTTCGTCACTCTCATGATGGAGCGAATACTAATATATCTGACAATGCAAGGGCGAATTGATCATCACTCGAATGACAACGCAAGCATGAATCGTTCGTTACTCGAATGACGACGCAAGCGCGAATCGATCGTCACTCGAATGAAAGAACAAATACTAATATATCTCTGACGACGCAAGTGCGAATCGTTCGTCACTCGAATGACAGAGCGAATACTAATATATCTCTGACGACACAAGTGCGAATCAGTTGTCACTCGAATGACAGAGCGAATACTAATATATCTCTGACGACGCAAGTGCGAATCAGTCGTCACTCGAATGACAACAGACATATGATCCCGTCGTCGGACATAACCTGGACTAAGTGGAAATAACATAATTATGTTATTTCCACTCATACCGATATCCACTACTACCAATATAACAACTTCTGCTCCTACACCTACATCCATTATTACCAATATTACAACTTTCACATCTGAACCACAATCTACTACTACTGATATTATGATTTCTGCAGCTATACCTACATCCATTACTACTAATATCACAACTTCCACATCTGAACCACAATCCATTACTACTGATATTACGACTTCTGCAGCTACACCTACATCCATTACTACCGATATCACACTTCCACCTATATCGACCATTACGACTTCCACACCTGCACCTATATCATCCAACGCTGCTACTAAAATTACACCTTTCTTACCTGCACCTACCACTACTGTTACCATGAACACCCAAATGAAATGTTTGATTCAAGAATTAAAGGATCCTGTAATAGGAAACAATAATACTAACAATAATATTATTAATACTAATGAAAATATTAACGATCCAATATTGGTACGACTTTATTATAAAGTTATACGTATAGAGAATAATGAATCTAGAGCAAAAAGAGCGGTAATTAGTAGCTGGTACGACTTTTCACAAGAGTTAGAAAATCAAATTAATGAAAAGTTAAAAGACCGTCGGCTAAATCAAAAAAATGCAACAAGCAAAGTGTATACTTAATGAATTTCTAAAGTGTATTCCTATTACACAGAAGACTTTAAGAAAAAGAGTCGAAAAAACTAACAAAGTTTACAAACTATTCAAGGCAATCGGTGTTGACAAAATAAAAAAAATCAAAAAAACAAGTGCAAATGTTATTTCCAACTTCTCCTTAGAACAAATTGATTTAGTTATTAATAGTATAACTAGTAGCTAGTTATTAGCTTTATATTCGCTAAATGAGTAAAAAATTTTTCTTTGCTTATCATATTTTAGATATATTTTTAAAATATTTTTTCATCGGTCTATATAAAAATCACATGATTATATAGACTGTCTAAAATTATAAACCGGTCATTGCCAAATTGTCTATTTAATTTTTGCTGTTTGCTTTTACCATATGTAGTTATACAGTGTAATGCTTCTACCGTTTGTATTTCTGCCATGTGACAAGTATTAACTGTGTATATTTAACAATCTGTCTATTTTTGTTGATTTGTATCATTGTTGTGCATAAGATCATCAAAACAATTTCCTTGTAATATCTAGAAAAGGAAAGTTGCTCCTGACTTTTTTATAATACATAAGCTATAGCTATAGCTTATAGCTTTAGCTTTAGCTATAGCTTTAGCTTTAGCTTTAGCTTTAACTTTAGCTATAGCTTATAGCTTCTAGCTTCCAACTTCTGAAATCACGATTGCATTATGCTTATAACTGTATTTTTGTAAAAAAAAAAAATGCATTGCCAATCGTTATTTATATGTTCTTGTTGTATGGATTTTGCATTTGTCAAAAAATAGTTTTCTTCTTTGGATTTATTGCCAGCCTGATTAATTGATAATCATGATAATAATAAATATCAAAGACCTTTGAGCAAGCTATCTTTTGTCTTTGGTGAATGAACAAACGAAAGAGCATCTTTTTTCAGTAATCATTACTAATTAGGTGTCTGATTGTGTCTAACTTACGAGCTAACAAACCATTGTTATTGGATCGCTACGTATATCCGGCAATCAGACTTCTATTTAGTACCATTATCACAAGCTAGGAATACTAATCATTTTGAGTACCATGTGTGTACGCATGTGTATACATATTGATATCAATTTTAACATTAAATTTAATTACTTTAAAACAATGCAACTTATGAATACTTGAAGAATTATATTAAAATTTTCACAAGTAACTTATTAAGTATTAGAGAATAAAATTACGCATTGAATTTTCTATTAACATATAAATTTGAATATTTGTCTTATATAATTTAAATTTCATTACTTAAAGTAAAAAATAATTAGAATTTAAACATACAAGTCGAAACTTTAATAAATATTTTGCAATAAATTAAGCATAACTTTTTAGAGATGACTTCTGTGAAAATGCTTGAGAGCATCCTATATTTGTAAAATGTAATAAGTAATAATTATTCATCATAGGAATAATTAGTAATAATATGTATGTATAGATATTGGGGTAAGAAATAAGTAATTATTACTTACATTATTACCTTGCCTATCTCTAATTGAGGCACTTGAGAGCGACCATGAACTCAGGTCATCAATCGTGAACTCAGTTCTTGGTGGTCATTAATCGTGAACTCAGTTCTTGGTAATCATTAATCGTGAACTTAGTTCATGATAGTCATCAATCGTGAACTTAGTTCACGATGGTCATCAATTGTAAACTCAGTTTACAGTGTTATCAATCGTGAACTCAGTTTATAGTAGTCATCTCAATCATAAACTTAGTTCACAGTGGTCATTAATCATGAACTCTGTTCCTGGTGGTCATTAATCATGAACTCAGTTCCTGGTAATCATTAATCGTGAACTCAGTTCACAGTGGTCATTAATCGTGAACTCAGTTTACGGTGGTCATTAATCGTGAACTCAGGTCACAGTGGTCATTAATCGTGAACTCAGTTCACAGTAGTCATTAATCGTGAACTCAGTTCACGGTGATCATTATTCGTAAACTCAGTTCACGGTGGTCATTAATCGTGAACTCAGTTTACAGTGTTATCAATTATGAACTCAGTTTATAGTAGTTATCTCAATCATAAACTTAGTTTACAGTGGTCATCAATCATGAACTCTGTTCCTAGTGGTTATTAATCATGAACTCAGTTCCTTGTGGTCATCAATCGTGAACTCAGTTTTTGGTGATCATCAATTGTGAACTTAGTTAATGTTTTTAGTAATTTTGTTTATAATCAATTAATGATTAATAAACTAGTCAGTTAATTAATTGATCGATTTTTTTTTATAAATGGTTAATTGATTAATCAACTGATCAATTAATTACATACAAACTTTTATAATTATAGATCTTTTTCTTGTTATTTTATATACATTGTTATATAAGCGCAACAATTCTGAATTAAAACTTAGTCAACCACAACTTGTAAATCATATTATTGTACAAACTCTTATGATTATAGATTTTTTTCTTATTATTTTTTGTATGTTATTATGTAAGCACAACAATCCCAAATTAAAACTCAGTTAGCCAACCATGACTTGTAAATCATGATCATAATTGCATAATAACATCGATATTGGTCATGCAACAATTAATATTATGAAATTTGTTTTGTTAGAGTAAATAATTGGCTAAAACAAACTGCTATGTAGCACATATAGCCAATTATTAGCCACGACAAAACAAATTTCATAATATTAATTGTTGTATAATCAATATCTTATAAATTATAATTACACAATAGCATCAATATTAGATCATGCAATGATATCAATTGTTATATGACCAATATCTTATAATTAATTGATTATTTAATTAACTAATCAGTTAATTAATTGATTAATCACTAATAATTAAGTAATTTTTTGGTTTTTTTTGATCTATAAATTTTAATAATCAATTAATCAATTAATCAAACTAGTAGTAATCATCATAAAATTTAAGCATTGTTATAAAAGAACCTTTTTTAAAAAACTATTTGTTTTAAAAAAAACTTTCGTTTCATCAAACTTTTTGTCTTAAAAAATTCTATATTACTAATTTTTATACTTTCTCTAAACTTTTCTTAGCTTCCAACTCCATGTCTACTCCAATCTCTAATTCTATTTCTTCTTATACTCCTAGCTCATCTACATTTTCTTTTTCTTTTAATTCATCTCTGATTTCTATGTCTTCTTTTTTTCCTAATTCATCTTCAATTTCTATTTCTTCTTCTACCTTTGACTCATTCCCAATTTCAATTTCTTCAACAATCAATTTATCTGAAAATAATTTCAATACTAGTATTACAATTCAAAATTCAAAAAAGCGTGCTCAAGCTCCTGTTCGCAAGTTTATTAAAGAAACAGAAAATAGAATTCGAAAATGCAAACTATGCGATAGTAAATGGGGAGCAAAAACATCAATATCAATAATAACTCTCCATTTTAAAAATAAACATCCAACTATTTATAATAAGTTTATAAAAAATTCTGCTCGTCCTTTACCATATATATTATTTGATAAATATCGTGTAGAGTCCTTAAATATAGATTTATTGTGGTGGATTATTACTAGTCAACAACCATTTTCAGTTGTTGAAGAGAATTCTTTCATAAAATTTATTTTTAATCTCGACCCAAGATATAAACTGCCCTGTCGCCAAACGCTTTCAGTAAATATTAAAAAACAATACAAACTAGCCAAGTTAAATATTAAAGAAGTATTAAACAATAATAAAAGCAAGTTGGCTCTCACGATAGATATCTGGACATCATGTACACAGCAACCTTATCTTGGTATAACTATTCATTAGGTTGATGATAAATGGGCTATTAAAACACTTCTCCTTGATCTAATTCCATTATATAATTCACATATTGGAGAATACCTTGCAAAAAAAGTTATTGAAAGTCTGGAGGAATTTAAAATAAAAGATAAGTTAATTGGATTCACTGCAGATAACGCAACAAATAATAAAACTTGCTATAACTTCCTTCAGAACTTTATTTGTTCAGATTTTATATATGTCTGTTGTGGTGCTCATATACTAAACCTTGTCGTGAAAGAGAGTCAAAAACATTATAATGAACAAGTTATAAAAGCATGAACACTTTGTAAAAAAATAAGAAGCTCACCTTTATTGTTAGAGAAAATAAAAGAAATTTCTATAATGTTAAATCAACCTTTTCTTCAACCTGAAATAGATATTGAAACACGTTGGAATTCTATGTTCTTAATGCTTAAACGACTTGTTAAAATTCAAAATATTATTGATCATCTTATTAGCCTCTATCCAGATATGCAAGACAATTATTTAAAAAATGACGACTGGATGATAATTAAGGTTAATATAATATTATTAGATTAAATTTAATATAGTCATATCAAATTTTGCTAGACAATATAACTATAGTGATGTTAATTATATTTAATTAGTATTTCTTATACTAAATTTATTTTTACATAATATATAAATTATGTTCAAAAAAAATTATATATACTAATTTAAAGATCTTATTTAGGATATAATTCATCTTTTAAAGCCTTTTTATGAAGCAACGCTTATACTTTCAGATACCTCAAGGCCTACGCATGGATCTTTAAGGCTAATATTCAAATCTTTTTTTATACATCTTGATTATTATATTTCTCATTATAAGACAGCCCATCATAAATCAACACAAGCTATGAAAGATAAGTTAATAAACTATTGGATTTATATTTCAGAATCTTCAATAATACCTGCCCTTCTGGATCCAACGACAAAATTGAAAAC